CATAAAAAAAATTACATAATAAAAAAATACAATAACTAAAAAAAAATTTTTGATTAAATATTATGAAATCATTTTGAAATACTCGACATTGTTTCGAACAGGTACTTCGGCTTCAAAAAAAAAATCATTTTAAATTGAGAAAATTAATAATCGTTATCAAAATTTTCAAATAATAATTTTACAAAACAAAACAAAAAAATTATATAACCCTTGAAAATCCTACCCGAAATACTTTCCAGTATTGATTTTCGAAATTGACTTCAAGGTCATTAACGTTTCGGGTTGTATCAACTCAATCGTATCTTAGAGTATAGCCAGAACTCACATGTCAGACGTATACTGGCTATGGAACAATTTAAATCAAAATTAAAGCTAATATTTCCGAAAAGGGCTCAAAGTAACAATACAATGTTGCGAAACCCAAAAACGGTCTGCACCTTTTTATGGCTTCTTTTTGCGAATAGTTTCACATGAACATTGCATTCCACCCAAAAAATAATGATTATCATACAATTATGAATTTGACCCGACTGAAGGAATTCATAATACGCTATACCACGATAATCGAAGAAAACTCGTGAAATGAGCTTTATTTTTAAAGGACTTCGATGTGATCTTTTCGATCTTGTCTTACCATTTGCACAGTATTCACTTTGATAGGCTGTTTCTGAGACGTATGCATAGATTCGATTGTTATCTTTAAAAATAATGCACTTTATTTAATCCTAATATGCAATAAGTATTGCTTCTCAAGTCCCCACTCACCTCTTCAGGCTGCATATATGCTGTCAATAATATTCTATATAAAATAATTATTTCGGGATTTAATAATTTAGAACAATCTCAATATGTTTACGCCCTCTTCCAATATGATCTGGACTAATCCATCTGCACAATAATGTATTAACACTCTTTTCAGTCCCTCAAGACTTCATTTCCTTCTCCTTGCTACAAGCCTGTTTATGTCTACAAGCCTCAATATGTTTACGTCCTCTACCAATATGATCTGCACTAATCCATCTGCACAATAATGTATTAACACTCTTTTCAGTCTTCATTTCCTTCTCCTGGCTACAAGCCTGTCTATGTCATACTATATAAGTTACTTATTTCTTGAACCTTGCAATTTATAACCATCTCAATGTGTTCACGCCTCCTCTATCTAAAATGTATTTAATACATTTTGTCTTTATATAAAATAATAACTTTTCTAATAAAAGCAAAATTAATGAAATTACTCCTACTTGGAAATACATCAGCTTGCAATATATATTTTAAATGAACAAAAAATAAACGAAAAAAAACAAAGAAAAATGTCCTTCCAAAAATAATTAATAAAAATTAATTTAACAAAAGTCAATTTGAGCAACCGGGCAGGGCAACTGACTGCAATACATTTTATTTACTATTTTATTAAAAATTCTACTTGTCCGACCGAGTTGCGTTCCCATAAAATAGATTTGATTTTCGAAAAACACTAACAAATATAAAACGTGTTCCATAGAATGCAACAACAACAATAACAACAACACCAACAACAACAACAAGAGGAAGAAGGACCACAATAAACAAGTAAACAAATGTGGCCTATGCCACAAAAGTTTTCAGCTAGTTTTTGTCAACAGCAACAAACATTTTCACCAATTCATCTATGAATTCTATGACATTCCATATATTGTTGACTTGTTCTTCGAATCCAGGCCCCCGTCCCCCTCCCACTCCCAGCATTCTGTACACATCTGCTACTGAATGAACCGAAATTGCAATTTTTCTCTTTAACCAAAAGTAGTACTAACCCATGCCATGTTTTTTTTGCTGGCTCCCTCTTTTCCCTCCACCCTCTTTTCTACTCTTTTTTGTTTTGTTTTTGTTTTTATTTTTGGCTTAACATTTTTTCGAATCTCTAATTTCCGTTGTCTCTTTGACGCATTTTTATGGTGGAACTAACAACTGTGACAGTTACAAAGCCCGTTTACAGTTAATTTATTTGTTGAGCATTTGTTTTGTACGTGTGAATGTGCATTTGTGTATTTGTGTGTGTGCGCGCACATATATGTGTGGATAGACGATTCCATTGTAAATGCTGTTGTTGGGTTTTCTTAATTAAAATCAAATGTGCCTTTGTGCATAGCTTAGCTCCTTCTAACACCCTCTAGGAAGATTACCATACAAAGCGGCGGTGCCTGAAAAGAGGCCGACCGCAGAAAACAGAAGTAACTAGTAGAAGATTTTGAGTGTTTTGTGAACGTGAAATTAACTATGTCTCTTAAAAAATCTCCATTGACGAGGGAATGATTAGAGAAGAACATATTAAAGCCCTAAATATATTTACATTGCAAAGTCGGAAAAGACTCTATTGTATAATGCAGTTTACCGGTAAAGAACAAAAGCTATAACTATAGTGCAATGTGGAAGGGGAATAGGTGAGGTGTTTTCTTGAGTTACTTTTAAAGTACCAGAAATTCAAGAACTATAATGTGAGTACACGTAGCTTAAAAACATGTGTATATAGAGATGTGTAATCCAGCAATATATATTGGTAAGTCTTGGTTTGCTCTTTAACTATCGTTTTTTGCTTGAGTTTTGTGACCACGTAAACATGTTTAAGGTAACCCCGACATGCCAAATATATTTCATTTGTCAAATAACATAAAAGAGCTGTTAATTTCATGGTAATTTTATAAATATAGCAAAATATCGACAGTGTTATAAATAAATCTCGAGTGTTATACATTTTTCCAGAGATTAAACAGTCAGAAATGAAAACGGTACTGAAAGCAAATTTTGGGTTAAAAAGTTATACTAGATTTGCCAATCGAAAACAACATAAAACTCTTTTCAAAAAAATCGGTGAAGATAAAAGAAATTCTTTTGTAGTCAACAATAATTTTTAGCCGCATAAGAAATATCTATTCTTAAGCTCTACAATGAAGGAAGATAGATATCGCGTCGTATAGACACATCTGTATCTTAATTATTGTCAAACTCCAGTTGTCAGAGTTCTTTTCCTAGTCTCTGTTTGAACAGTTCGAAGTTCTATGCACTCTATTATAGTATCATTTATAACGAACTCACATCCACATGGATGTGTTGACTTGACACAATTTTCTTACAGTATGTGATGTAACTCACCGTTATGCTGAACTTAATGTAGTCCGAATTGTGTTTCCAGCAATCCTTCAGAAACGTATTTAATTAAATTTATTAGTAATACTAAAACATTAATATGAGCAATAAGCAACAAATGTTTTTGGTCATCAATGTTGACGATTGGTTCTCTTGTTTCTGGAGTGGTCAGATCTACTTCTCGAAGCTAAACGCTTATTTCATACATACATTAAGTGCCGCTCACCACTCCTAAGAAAGCCACAACAACACTAGCACTGGTTAACAGACATAGTATTGTCCGCTCTTGATACATGAAACTATTCGATTTCACTAATGACCGGATCTTTGTTCCGAAAGTCTATGAAGTCGAATTGTCATTCATCACTTCAATTGAAATTTTATTCTCAGCATATATAATGAAAAACAAGATTTTTTTAGACATGATGATACGATTAGCATAATATTAGTTTTGATATCTAATAGTTTGATTTTCTTTTTATAAAATATGTTAGAAAAATTCAAAAGCATTTATTGTCTATTAATTAATAATTTCAATTTAATTTTATATATGTATTGTTAAAATAAAACTTAAAGACTATGATTTTTTTTCAAATAAAATATATCTATTTATAAATCTAAATATCTAAACACCAATATATACCTATATCTATATCTACATCTATACCTATGTCTATATCTTTATCTTCACCTATGTCGTTCTACATTTAATAATTCTTATAATTAAATTACATCCTTAAGTATCTTTCACTATCCGGGGACCTCCATTTAGAACAGCACAAAAAGATTAAGATCTTATATTAACATTTAAATATCAACTATATTAAAATATTAGTATAAGATTAGTTATGACAAAACAATAAGAACAAACATTAATTAATATTTTTAATATAATAAAAATAATTTAATATAAAAACATTTCAATAATCTTTAAATTTAATTTTTATCTTTTAGGTAAGCAATTAGTTTTGAAATGAACTGATGTCTAAACTGAGAGTCTGGATGAAGTATACATTTTTATGAAATCATTAAGCATTTCTTCAAAGTAAGTCAATTAAATAATTTTAAATTTTATGTCAGTTGGATGGGCACAGAGTAACGATGGTAGCTAAATAATTCGCGCTCTATTGACACTAATAAATGTGCAATAAAAGCAAATATTTTTGTTATTAATTAGCCACATTGGCATTAGAAATAAATTAGAGAATTTCAACTAAAAGTAATTAGCTAAAATACCATTGCATCATTAAAATATAATTTCTCTACGACTCAACGATTCAGTGCCTCAGCGCATGATGGTCTATCCTCCATAGAACCGACAACTGCTGTCGTTGGTATTGTCGATACAAAAAAGCTTCTACTGTCATCATTTTAATTGCAAACAAATGTTTTACTGTTTTTTTTACAAAAATATTTAATATATTTTTTTATTGTTTGTTTTAATTAAAATTTGTTTCAGTCTGAAATCTTGTGAAAACATACAGCATAAGTTTACAAAAAAATAAAAAAAAATAATTATACATATATATAGATATATATATATATATATGTATGTATATATATTCTAAAACTGTAAAAAACGGTTTAAAAAATTTTACGACTATTTTTAAATTACATTATTTAATTAACATATTTTATATACTACAAAGACAATATTTGTCAACGTATCAAAAAAAAAAAAAAACGTACAAAATAATTAGAATTACATAACAAATACACATGTGCGATACAAATATTATAGACACAAGTGCTGGAATCGGGCTGAGCAGAAATGTACGATTTGTTAAAACTTAACTTTTGATTTTCAACAAGTAGTTTTTTTCAGTTAAATGCAATTAAGATGAATGCATATTATATATGCACTTTACATTTGAGTTTATTTCATTTTTAATTATTGTGATTTCTAACAAATAAATAATAATTAAATTAATTATTTCAAAAAACCGAATATGATTCGCTGGAAGAACGCCTTTAATTAAACCATGTACACAAGTACATGTACTTGAAAAGTGAAAAAAAACGAGAAATCTATTTGACTTTTGGTTTGACTGGTCTTGGTGGTTGGTCAGCTTCAGGCAAATCACTCTCCTTCTTACGCTTAGCCTTTTCCTTTGCTGCTTTGGACTTTTTAACCTGTGATGCCAATTTGTTTGCTTCACGTTTCGATTCACGCTTAATACGTAATTGTTCAGTGATGAACGAGAAGAAGAGATAACCCTGCAGCACCATCAATCCAACCAAAGCAAGGAAGGCACGTACTTTAAAGTCTGTATTAGCAATGCCGTAGTATAAAGTCAAAACTCCAAGCACCAATGTGGCGAAACGTACAAAGACAAAAACGGCGCTATTGATGATACTGAATTTGGTGTATTTCTCATTGCGATCAAAGACACTAATGAGTTGGAAAGCATGAGCCACTATCTCACCCAAGTAGTGTAGTGTAAGCAACACCAAAGCAACTCGTTGGAAACTGTAAAGAAATTGGCATGTAAAAATCTTAAAAATTATTGTAAAATTTTGATTCAAACTTACTTGAGTGTATATGCTAAACAGATAACAGAGAAACCACTGATTGAATGTATAATTTTTGGTTGCTGATCTTCTTTCTTCACTTTCTGGAAATATAACTCAGGCAACATGTGGAGATAGTATGCCATTAGGATAACAAAAAAGAATTTGTGAAGGAACGTCATGGAATGATTAGGAAAATCGTCCCATAGCAAAGACAATTTAAAGAAGTAGCCCTCATTGAGTACAACATTTGCGCCCCAGAAAAATGCCAGCAAATAGAAAGCGATTAGTTGACCTGATTCATTAAGCATTCCCAATTTGAATTTGGACAAGTGCAACTTCTTGGAGATTTTCTGTAATATAAAAATAAAACTTCAATAAACAAAAATACACACTCCACAACTATTGATTAATTGCTACTAAAATAAGTATATATTCAGTTGAGTTTTAAACTGATTATAAAGCGAAACCTCTTTTAATAAAATTTAAAGAAATATATTTAAACAAATATTATAAAGATAATTTATGATTTTTAAAAAGTGAGGACTTTATTTTCAGTCCATAGAAAAAAATCTAGATACATTTCAAATACACATTTAATGCACATAAAATTGTTTTACCGTTATGTTGCAATAAAAATAAAACTGAAATAATAAATGAAATTGTAATTACAATATAAAGGAGCTTATGAGATTATTGATTGGAAATTATATTAAATAAATTACACATTATTTTAATAACATTAGCATTAGTCTGTCTGTGACAACAAGAAATGTATTTTTATCGTAAAGATAAAAATGTATCTCATTAAGCTATTAAAAAGCTTTTATATGAAATGAAAAATTCCATTTATTTCTACGTATACAGTGCAAAAATAAATTCCAAAAAATAAATTCACTTTTCAATTTAATAAAGTATATCCTTGAACTATTGATTATAAATACTAGCTAAATATTATTTTTTCAATGTAAATTTGATTATACTTACAACTAAGTGCTAGGTGAGAATTTTTATATACATAGATAGTGATTGTGATTATTTGAATTGTCATTTATATTGACTATCTGTACATGACATATATGAATTGAATTTTAATTATGTCACAAAGGAATAATGAAATAATGATTTGTTGTAGTTAAATTGAATTGGAGTTGTGCTACTTTAGGAGGCAATAAATGAATACTAATGGTATATTATAATTTACAAAAGTATAGTATATATAATAATTTCAATATTAACATCAATTAATATTTAAATAGCAAAACATTGAGATGAATATTAAATTAATAACATTTAAGTAAAAATAATTGTTAAATAATAATAGTAATAATATTAATAATAATATAAAATAATATACAACCATAACATAAAATAATGAAATATACTATAACATATATATCATATATAATAACAAAACATAACACTACTATAATATATAGTAATAATAACACACAAAAATAATAATATATAAAGAAAATAATAATATATAAAGTAAATAATAATGTATAATGAAAATATATGTATATAATTAAATATATTAAATATATTTAAAAAAAAATAATTATGTATACTATTAATAAAATAAAAATAATTTTATATAATACTTGTATAATAATGTTAATACTTAGTTATTATAATAATAAATTAAAAATTTAGATCTCATAATTAAAAACAAAATTCTAATATTAGCTGTTAAAGTAAGTGAGTACAAAATGTATGTTATATTGAGAGTAGAAAATATAAAAAATAATAAATTAATAAGAATTAAATAAAAATAACAATTAAATAACAATAATAATTAAAAAGCTATTTAATCTTAATACACAACATTCCAAATATGATATCGTGTTCAAATCAAAATAATTTAGAGCCTTTTAAAAATAGTCTATCAAATTATGCAATTATTAATTAAATAATAATTAAACAAAAATAATAATTAAAAACCGTTCAAAGATGGCGGATATAAATAACAATGTAAAAATATATTTCATATCTGATTGATAGCCATTTTTAGTTCGCTCTAAAAACATCATTATACTTTTACTAATGATAGATATTAATTGTATTAAAATAAAAAATAAAAAATTACTAATATAAAACAAGTACAAGTATACTTTTCAAATATGTATAATAAATGTGTACAATAAATACTCAATAAAAATAAGAATGGGGGACTCCCACAAGTAGCAATAGCATTTCCAATAAAATTGGAAATTTCGTATAATAAGAACTCATTTGGCGAAACGCATAACAGTAACATGGTAACACATACTCTTGGGCTTACATATATATATTTATATAAACTTAATATAATTAGAAATAATTTTATCAATTAGTAATTAGTAAAAATATAAGCACTTAAAGCAAATATGAGGCAATTATTTTATACAGTTACCCACCCATGGAGAATTATACTTATTTAATCTTGACCTTATACATTTTTTCTACACAGTTTTTCATATTAAGGATACTTACATCCAACACAAATTCCTGCAGGACTGCATGCATAATAATACAAGTTAAAGTGTAAAAGAATACTGTACAATAGTCCTTAATGCCAGCCATATAAGTGAAGGGTTTGCCACTAAAAAGAAAAAATATATAGTTGTATCGCATATACTATGTTATATATATATATACATGTAAAGAAATATTAAAGAAAATTAATTACTTACAGTGGATTTTCCCGAGTAGGGATCTCACCGGTAACATTATGATTAAGGGATATAAAGGCACTAGCGAATGGTGAAGTGGTCTAAAGAAAAAGAAAATAAAATTCATTAAATAAAAAAGTATTTAAATTATACATATATATAGGCTGCAAGTGATTATCAATTTTCATTGAATTTTTTATTTACATATATTTTTTTTGTTTGAATTATCGAATTTGCAAAATCTTTGAGATAACAACTTGAAGTCAAGTGCCAATAAAAAGTGAAGCGAATATATATTTTATTAGAAGCTAGCAACAATGATAAGAAGATAGCGAGTTTAGTGTTAGTATAATTTAACTGATTTATTTGTTTAGGGAAGTCTAATAAAATTATTATTTCAAAGAAAATTTTTCGAAAAAAAATAGTTTTTAATAGGAAATGGGTCTCAAAATTAGTATGTAGAGCGGACAACCGTTGTCAATATTGTTGTTGTTGTAGCCCGTGAAGATCTACTGGAATTTAACATTTTTGGAGCGATAAACGATAATTGGTAGTCGTTATTGACGAGCAGCTTTACGATGTAGATGCGGCCACTTTTAGAATTTTACGTGCAGTTTAAAGTTGTTTAATAATGTTTAGTTCAGGTCATTGCATTCAGTCAAGAAAGCTGTTGTATAAACAAGTCCTTAACAATTTTTGGGTCCCCCTACGAGGATTAAAAACCGTTTACCACTTTCAGCACGAACTACTTCAGGAGATATTGAAGAGTTACAACAACATTAACAAGAACATATTAATTTTTAAAATACATTATAAAAATATTACTGTATTATTGCAAATATTAATTATTTTTAGTTAAATGTTGTAAATAATAAATATTACGATAATGCATAGACTCTGAACATACTTAATTGCGTTTTAAAGATTACTCTTTGTACATCAATTTTTACTTAGTCACAAAAGAGGAATTTTAAAGAATTAAATTACATTTCCTTGTTAATAAAAAAACTAATAATATTTATTTAGTACATAGGTCTTAAGTTTTACGATAGAGATGAAGAAGATCATTTGAAATACCACATACGTGCCTCCAATTTAGAGTAACTTGTGATTACAATTTATATTATATTATTTTAATTATTATCATGTAATTACAATTACTATCAGTAACTACGAAATTTCTTCAACTAAGTGCTGCTATTGTTGTCGTTGATAAATTTAGGAAGGAGCCGACTCCACATCTTAAAATTACTTGTCAATACTAATCAATTATCTCTTACTATTTCTATGAAACAGATTAGTCGTTGCTTTTTATGGAAATTTGATTTCTAGTTAATAGAAATCTTCACAACGACCCAGACTAGTACATATCAACCCTCTCTTCCCTTTTCATTACAAGATTTAAGATTAGCTAAAGCTAATCTCATACATATTAGATCAGCCTCTCTACCTTGCTTTTCCGCCACAATTGTGATCTAGTCATATTTCTGCTCTCAGGACTCATGAATGGGTCACAACAATAACAACGAGTTAACATAACGAGTAAAAAATAAAGTCACTGATGATGTGTTATTATATGAAGTAATAATTTCTCTAAAAATGTAATTAGTTGGCCAAAATAAATCTTACTTTTTCAAAGAATATTTGAATTTCATACTAGATCCGTATGAATTACTGATTTTAAGAAAATCTTTACTAGATCACGTCTCGATTATATTCAAAGAAATCAAGGGCAGTTTAACTGCAAGATAATCACGTTTGAATATGGAAATTTAGCACACAAAAAATCAAAATAATTTTATATTTTAAGTAGAATGTGTATAATTTCCTCTAAAAACGAGTTATTTAAATTATATATGGAAAAGGTCTTGGTTTTCGGTTCTAAGCTCTTTTGATATACAGCCAGCCAATTATCTTTGGGAACAAAATTCCAAGGTAGCAGCACTGTCGAGGCTTTCAACCAGAAGTGAAAGTAAGTCCATTGAATGCAAATCGCTGTAGTGACTTGAGAGCGCAGCTGCACTGACGCTGCGTGTCACTTTTAATATATCTCAGAAAATTGTTTCTATTAAACAATAAAAATAATTTTATACAATTTCTTTACTAATTATAAAGTTGAGGAATTCATAACTTGCAACAATCTTCATTCCATACGACAAATGTAAATGCACATTTTTAAATACAGCAACGTCGACAATAATATGAGCGCACGTCTACAAACGTTAACGTAAACGTCGACAGCGCTGCAAGCGCAACGCAAAAGAGAAAAAAAAATCGTACCAAACAAGAAATCCAAACGAATTGTATTCACATCAAGCACGATTGCTTGATTTCGTCTTTTTACGTGGCACCAACGAACTATTCGTTGAGCCGAATAGAAAAATGCGCGTACGACGACTGCGCTGCTGCATACCTACGAACAGCACAAGCATACTAAAGAAGCAACAACAACAACAGCAACAAGTACGGAGATTTCTTATGAATTACTACTGAATGCACGGTGGCAATGCTAATTGTAATTTGACAGTTACACTCTTTTTTGTTTATCTTCACGATTGCATAAAACAACAAAAGCAAATACAAATTTGTTATTGCAATTTATGTGTACGCTGCAAAAAATTCTGCAAGTACAATAGCAGCAACGACAGCAACAACAACAATAATAGGATAAAATTCAAACTTACCTCGTCCATTAGGCCAACCACAAAAATCATAGTTATGCATGAAATAATGTCGGCATGATTCTGTATTACAAACTCATGACTTAAGATTGGTGGATTCTTGCTGCCAGTCTTGCGACCCAAACCAGGTTTAATGGCCATTATTGCACTTGGTATGTGTGTTTAAAGAAATGTGAGCTCAAATAATATCTGCCAAATGAAAACGCTTAAAAAATTTCACTTAAGTTGCGCCGCTCGTCGTTTGTTGCCCAGCAACACCACTCACTCGTTCACTTGCTTATTTCTGACTGACGATTGTGAACGATTGACTTTTTTCAAAATGCCAACACAATCTGATAACAACAGCAACTACAACAACAACTATACAAAAATGCCACGCAGTACTATTTCTTTTTTGTTTCCCTCTCTTGTGACTTGTTTATGTTTATTGTTGTTGCTTGCGGCTACAATTTGGAATATCTGTGACGTGTTGTTAATTTTGTATACAAAACAATAATTGAATTCTTTATTGTTTTTCAAACCGTACATGGAACATTTTTTTTTTAACAGCTCTTTTTTACTCTTAATAAATCATTTATTTACTGTATTCAATACATAAATTTACACTTTAATTAAAATTCAACCAACTTTTAACGCGGCACTAGCAACTTAATTGCAACAAGTTGGAAATGTCAAAAAATTGTTTTCGTACATTAAAAAAGAAATGCCAACTACTTATAAAACTAGAGTTGCCAATTCTTCAATATGAATTATTTACTTAAATTAATTTCTAAAATATGCAATAATTACGCACAATAATATTTCAGTTATTACATTCAATAAAATGTATAATAATATATATAGAGAAATAAAACATTTCCGACAAAATATATATTTAATTGGAAAATTTATAATTAAAATTTGAACTCAAGGAATATTAATTTATATAATATAAATACAGACTAGCATATATGTGTACATAATATAAATTATAATAAATATTTAAATGACAGATTAAGAACCTATTTGCAATTATAATGAAATAAATTTGATGGAGAAATTTTAATAGTTTTATTTAATTAACAATATATACTGATATGAATGTATGTTTAATTAAAACCGTCTGTCCGTCCGAACATACGCACTAAAATTTCTTTCTTTTTAAACTTTTTGACGTTTGGCAATATGGTTCAACAGCTGTTCAATCAAATCATTTTGTAGTTATAATCAAACACTTTGTAAGTTAAGTACCACAGAAATAAATGTTCAAACAACAAATATGAAGTTCTTTATGCCACTCGTAACATTAAGTATTTTCGGTCGCTCTAAAGTATGGCAAAAATCAACAAGTCGCTTTCTTAAAGTCGTTAAGTGACATATTGGCATCACTGTTGCGATCTGTCAAATGTTATGTTATATATAAGCACATAATGCAATGCAAACCAAGGAAACTACATTTTGTATAAAAAAAATATAAAATTGATATAAAATTGAATGTTAAGGGTAGGTGCGAGTTGTTGTCATTTCATGATAAACTAAATGGAACTTAGGGTTATTTTCACCTTAGGGTTATATGTTGTTTATACAAGTGTAACAAGAGTTACATTTTGACAGCTAATATGAATTTCAATGTAAACGTTTAATATTAGGTAAACGTCAAAGATTTCCAAACAATATCTAAAATAAAAATTTTAGAAAATACGAAAAGAAAATACAAAATTTATTGCAAATGCTCATTAAATAATGAAAAATACATGCAAAAGTGATCATTTTTCTGTTAAAAGTTTTGAAATAGCAATAATTAATCTTTTATAATGTAAATAAAACAAAACGTGTTAATAAAATTTTTTTTATTGATATTTTCTATAATTTGATTGATTTAAATTCACTTTTTTATTTATTAAACATCTTATGAAAATAGTAAACGGGCAACCCTTGAAATACCAACATTTCACCACATTATCGGCACAATTTAGTATTTCCGTCAATTAGAACAACTCAAATGAATTATAAACTAAAAGAAATGTTAGAAATCTAGGAACTTTAGAATGTTTATGGCTAAATAAGTATTAACTTGTTAGCAATTAATAAGTTAAAAAATTTAAAGCGTTTTTCAATTATACTTCGTTTATATAATTCGTTTCAAATAATACACTTAACAGTTAAATATAATTTTTCTTAATTATTTTGGCTAATATATTTTTACTTAATTACACTTCTACTTATAGATATTATATTATACATTTATTAGGCTTTCAATATTTGTCACTGTCTACTAACTAGAAATTTATAATTTATTTGCAACGATAGACATATTTTCTAATTAAAAACTATTAAAATAAAACTAAAACACCATGAATTTTCTCTAATAAAGTTGGCAATACTTGCACTGTAATTAAATGCTTCATTTATATATGACACGTTTTAATTAACAAATGCATATGTTTCCAAAACTTTGAAGTTACTTTGGTAAATTAACTGCAAATAATATAATAATATAGTAATAATAATGCAATAATAATATAATAATGATTTTTTGCATAATATTTTATTGCAAATATTATTTACAATTAGAAAAGTAAATTTAATTTAAACTAAAACCTTAAAATCAAAATCAAATAAAAACTATAAGTAAAAAAATTAAAAACAATAGAGTGAAAATTTAAACTGGAAATATAATTATTAAATCACAAAAAACATCTAATATACTATTATATCCTGTAGTTGATATAATTTGATATAAAATCACTTATATTCATATAGTGTGTTCACGGCAATTCCTAATAAAGAATTATTGAAATTTACTTAGGACTGGGGCCTATTATATTAAAATATATAGCTTTATGTATATATTAACTTTATTTATAAATTAATTTTATTATATGTATTCTATTCATACTATTATATTTAAATTATTTCTAACCATACTATATGTAAGCAGAACTCATATAGTTATGATTGGCTACGAAATATCATACTACTGCAATCGAACATGATTATGTTTCAGTAATATGATCAAAAACTTTATACTCTTAAAATTGTGATGAAAACATTAATTTCAAGAAACTTGTTTAATTTTTTAATTTGAGATAATTAATTTCTTAATTAAATTTAATAAATTTTTTAAATTTTTTTCTTAGATATCTCCTCAATACTCTTTTAAGTCTTCAAAAATGTATTTACCCTTAAAGTAGTGACGAAAACTTTGTTTTTTTTTTGTAATTCACTCAATTTCTATATATAATATATTTAATTTTTTAATAGAAAATAATTAATTTTTTGATATTTTTTGCTTGTATATCTCAAAAATGCTTTTAAGTCTTCAAAAGAGTATTTCCACTGCGTTTTCACTGTTTACTTAGTAAGTTACTTAGTAACTTTAAACTTTTTGGCGTTTACATTAGCACAAGTTACTTAAATTTACTTCGTAAGTAATAATTACTTAGAAAGCAGCGTAAACGTAGTATAATTGCCCTTAAAGTAGTGACAAAAACTTTATTTTTTTGTGACAAACTCAGTTTTTATATTTAAAGTAGTGACAAAAACTTTATTTTTTTGTGACAAACTCAGTTTTTATATTTAAAATAATTAATTACTTAATTGAAGATAATTAATTTTTTGATATTTTTTGCTTTTGTGTCTCAGAAATGCTTTTAAGTCTTATAAAGAGTTTATACTATATATATCCCTCACACACATTGTCTCTAAAGTGTGCAAAAAAAATTTTTGTTTATTTTATTTTTGAAAATTTCTTATTGAGATTGAAATCTATTCAAGATTTTGCTTGTTGCTATTAATCTATTTTATGATATTCTCGCATCCAGAAGTAAAGGCATAAAGGCAATATAAGCACGTTCATCATTAGAGTGTCATAAAAGAGATGACTTTGATAAAAATTTTACACATTTTTATGACATCAAAATAAATTCTCAAAGTTAAAAACTGACCAATTCAATCTGTATGCAAAATATGTGCCAAAACATTCCCAAATTTACACGTACACAACCGACAACCAGAAATGCACTCCAGTACACCCGCTTCTATTCACCTACTCACCTCCTTGTCTCTTCACCATCTCACTTTCACACATAACTCATACGAGCAAGCAGCATTCATTTTAGAGTGTATCATGCGATTTTACACGCATGGTAGGAAAACGGATGTTGAAACATGAAAATCCTTTTTGTTTTACAATAAGCATGACACAACACACACACACACGCAGACAAACACGCAAACAAACACAAATCTAGGAACGCACGTAGTTATTATATTAAAATGCTTTTCAGTGGGTTTTTTGTTAGTTAAAAATTTACGTACTGGTGCAACCAGGGGTTGTGTGGAGGGTCTAGTGCCGGAGCAAATGTGAGTGAGTGTTTGTAATCACATATTTACATGGTTACAGCGTGTTTTACATGCTGTGATAAGTTACGAGTGTAAACGTGCCGTCGGTGCTGTCCATTTGTTTGCAATGTAACTAGATTTGTTCATGTGCCTACGTTATTTTATTTTATATTAATTTTTTTTTGTGTATATTTTTTTTTTGTGGTATCAATGCTCTTGAATATTTTATGTGTTATCCCTTTTTGTGCACATATTTATTTTTTTTTTTTTAATTTTAGGCTTCGTATATGTGCGGGCATATCGCACATCTGCATGAAATATGTGCAAAGTATCATCTAATATGATTTTGATTTTGATTTTGAGTTTTCTTTTTGCACAGTGTACGTAGTACGTACATAAATCTATTTTTTATTTCGAAGCTATTAGAGTGTATTATATTTTTCTTTTTTTTTTGCACAAGTATACATATATGCAAATTGTTTACTTTATTCATATTCGCGTACTGATTTCATGAACATCGAAGCAATTGTTTTGTGTAATGCTTTTTACACGCATACACAATGTTCTCATTTAATTATTGAATGCTCACACAAAAATTTCAGGTATGGCAATAAAAATTATTGCATGCGATAAAATTGCTTGCAGTCAATATGACAGTCGCTCGCGATAAAATGCATACGAGTATTTGGTTTGAGCAAAAAAGTACGCGACATTTTTATTTTCGCTTTTGAATTAAATTATAATAACAATGAAATAAATTGTTCATTCCATTAAAAAATTTTTTTTTAACTTAATAGGTGTCAAATTAGTTGATAATTGGTAAACATTTTTTGAAGATTGGTGCTACATTTTAAAAGTGATTGGAAAGCAAAACTGAAAAGGCGATACGTTTAGCAATTATACTGGGTTCTTCATTTTGTCATTCTAAAAGTAAATGCAAATGAGGGGTCCATGTGATTAGAAAAGGCGTCCAATTTTAATTTCAACATATTATAATAATTTTACCTTTAAAGGTTACTACTACTTACTTAGTCGGCCATTACACAAGTGAGTCGTCCTCGGCCGCGTCGAGTAACCTCCGTCAGCCAGCGGAGGTTATTACCACTAAGTAAAAAGTTACTTAATTGTTCCCTGGATAACTTACAGTATTGTATAGCAAGTTTTCTTGACCCCAAATTATTATATCAAGAAACTTTATATGGAACAGTTGGATTTCGCTCCAGTCAGCCGCAAAAAAAAACAGCCTATTGTCGCAAAAAAAAAGTTTGAAAAGACTAGCGACATATTCGTAATTATTGAAAAAGAAGGTATAGTGAACTGCGACCTGAAAG